ATTGCCATTAGAAACGGCATTGTTGCATTCTTTTCATAAGGAAATATCGAAAGAACCATAATAAAGCAATGTTAAGAGATGATAATTTTTTTAAGTTCACCATAACGATAGAAATTCAATTGAACATAGCAAAATCATAACTTGTCAATTTTTTGACAAGGGAAAAATGCTGTATTTTTAAGTTGCAACTAGCAATGATAGTCTTTAAAGGTATTTATGAACTTTTTACTAGGCAAAAAAGATACTGTAGGCTCTTCTCTTCCAAATAAAAATAATATTAGATCAAGCTTGTTTAGCAGTTGAGTTATACGCATTTGTTAAGTGGACATCGCCTTTGATTACTCTTCAGTTAAAGAGTAGCTTTTTAATAAACATGTTTTTATCATATTGTTATAACGGACAAGTATGGTTTTTCAAAGAATATAAAAGAACTTTACTCTAGCACTTGTTCTGAGTTGCTCATGAATTCTATAGACAAAGTTTTGATGGATAAATCTTAGAACTATAAAACTTTAAAAAACCCTACTGAGTGCGTTACCGAAATACTTTGGTAATAACTCTTTATAGAGATAAGCTTTCGAAAAGCAGATGCCATGGTTATTAAGCCTATCAACTTAGCTCCAAATTAATATTGAAATATCTTATTTGACCTGAATAAATTCGTAGAAATATAAACCTCTTTACATGGGCCTAATGACAAGCGGCCTTTTAAATGAGTGCGTTACCGGAACTTTCTGAACCTCTAAAACTGCGATAGTACAATCAAATGGAGTCAAATTTTTAGTAGAGGTAGATCTTCCAATTATCTTGTGAAACTATAAGTTTCAGCTGTTTACTATGTACGACTCTTGCGTTATTGGAATCAGAAAGTCAAAAATGGGTGAGTGCGTTACCTATGGTCAAGCCGAAATGCTCTATTTTTCTATGCTATTTGATCATACTTCAACTAACACCATAATAATAAACTTTCGATAAGATCTGTTTTGTTAGAATATGTGCTGGTTGTATTAGATAATAATGGGTGAGGAGATTAGATGGTCGTGCTTTGCATTTCAATTTTCAATTGCTTGATATGTTGTATTAAAAAATCAAAATATATCACAAGACGCAGCGTGAAATGCCCTACAATTTACATAAGACCGTTTAGTTTATAGTTGCACTTTTTTTTTCAAAATTGATGAAATTTTATGCGACCCATTGTCGAGGATCTTCGAATTTCATATCTTTTCCTTAACTAATCGTACTTATACAGTTGTGATTTATTATTATGTAGTGCGTATGTGCTCCTAACAAGTAATATAAGAGTGAATGCGGAAATATAATTGGAACATGTATCCATTGATCTCAACTCAGTCATCGATTATCTTTTTTGATGTGATTTATTAACCGAAGGAATAAGAAAAGGAATTTGTCGTGTGCCAGTAAATGCTCTTGTTCGCAGGGTTGAAAATTGGTTACATATGAATTTTGTCCATTTTGAAAACGCAAAGTACAACTATAAAATAAGCTGTGCTGTATAAATTGTAGAGCTTCTCACGCTGCATCTTGTGATATATTTTGATTTTTTCTAATACAACATATTAAGTTATTGAAAACTGACATGCGGAGTTCATCCATCTAATCTGCTCACTCTTGATCATCTAATATAAGCAGCACATATTCTAATGAAACAGATCTTATTGAAAGTTTATTATTATGATATCAGTTGAAGTATGATCAAATAGCATAGAAACATAGAGCATTCTTTTCTCTATCAGACTATATTAAAAGAAAGTTTCTTAGAGCTTACTATACGGAATTAAAGTGTTGCTGTCACTACTTTTGGTATGCCCTAAGTATTTAAAGGTATATAAATCTAATTTATTATTATATAAAGAGAGTTTGTTGTAGTCTTAAATATTTTGTGGAACTCACGTATGTTTTCGAAGAAAATAGTGAGTGTAAGTTTTCAGTTCGAGATTTGGCGGCTCTCCCCCACCCCACCCCATTACAGACACATAGCAACGGGAAAGAGAACATTACAGACATACCCTCCATTACAGACTTTAAGAATCGAGAATAAGAGGCGTCAGGCTTTCTAGAGTTTTTTGCAAAATTGATTAAGTTATAATTTTGAAAAATAATGAATATCATTGTTTTTAAGTTGATTAATATATATAATAGTGCCTAGGATTTGCTGTAGGTATCATGTATGTGTAAAACAGACTTATTTGTCAATTAATTCAATGATTATAATAATAAGAATGTTAAATTAACAAAAACGAATAAAAAAAAATGAAATATAATGAGCGAATAGCAACAATGTAAAAGAAAAACATAAGGCGCCCGACGAGAAAAATAAAAGATTTCTGTTCAAAATGCAGAAATTCGAGATGTCTTTACTCTTATGTTCGATTGTCCTGCAAAACAACTATAGCCTACAAGAGATTTTTCATTTTAGGTATTTTGTATTCGTTTAGTGAGGCTAGAGGATACATGTAAGTTTCACAATTCAGCCCCAAAGAGGCTGCGCTAACAAGCTTTCTTGTTAAAATATCATTTGCGTGTGTATTTTTCTTTTTTGTCATCATTATTTACATTGACATAAAAGGCAAAAGAAAAAGAAAAAAATTTAAAAAAAAAGAAAAAACAAGGAGAAGAAACAAATGTATACGCTTCACGGACACCCACGAATAGCAACGAAGTGAAAACAAGCCTATTATCATGTCTATCATGCCCATTGTCTAAAACGGTATGCTTCAGGTATGCATTTCAATTGTGTGTCTATAGAATAAGAATATTGAAGCTTGTTTCATTTTTATGTGACCAGTCAAACATCTTCACAAGTTTTCATTATACATCAAAACAAGGAAGAAAAAAACAAAACAAAGATAGTGATCAATGCCTTGTCTGTGGAGATACATCAGTCGGTATCAATTTTGGTGTTTATACATGTTCACCATGTAAAGCATTTTTTCGTCGGAATGCTACAAAACTTGGTGTATGTTTTCATAGTTTTCTATACATAAATATGATGTACTTGAATTTTTCTTTTCCAGGCATATGAATTTACATGTTATAAAGATGGTGATTGTCCAATAACATGTGATACTCGTCAAAAATGTAGTTGTTGTCGTTTAGCTAAATGTTTTCGTGTTGGTATGAATTCCAATGCTATACGCACCGAAGATGAAAAATTAGAAAGAAATCAATTAATTGCATACAATCGACAAAAACGAATGGAAAAAACTGGAGCCGTATTTCATTTTACTTTATTTTATTTTATTTCATATTTTTTTATATCGAATTTTCCACATTTAGATTTCACCAGTTATTCTTTTAAAACATTCTCAAAGAACACATTTATCTTTATCATCAAATGATCAAACATTATTAGCAAATATATTTAATGCATATGAAAAAACATGTGTTTCATTAAGATTTGATGAACTTTTAAAAATACCTAATGATACAACATTATCATTACAAACATTTATGAATTCTTTTTCACATATGTATGTGGCATTAATTGATTATTTTAAATCTATACCTGAATTTTCAAATTTATCCACTGAAATAAAAATTGGTTTATTAAAAAGTAATCTTAATCAAACATTGCGTCTTAATAATGTATTAGTCATGCAGGCAACAGGTGTTGTTGATGATATTAATTCAATTGTATTTAAAAATGTTTTTCCAATAGATTTATTTATTGAATTATGTCATTGTTCTATGGCTCTTATGCCGTTTGTTTATGATCCTATTTTTCTTAAATTAATATTCATTGTATTAATTTTTTCAACAAGTTTAAGTATTCGATATGATACTAATGAACAAATAATTCCTACAAAAACTATTTTATCAATACAAAATGTTTATATTGAATTATTATGGCGTTATATGCTATATCGTTGTTCAACATATCGAGAAAGTATAGGGCTTTTAACATCATTTATTACACGTCTACTTCATTCTCAAACTGTTGGTGAAAAACTTAGTCAGTACATAAATAAAATAATATCAAATCATGTTGATCAATTAGAACCCATTATGAAATCAATGTGGTGTAATGAAAAAAACTGAATAAAATTTTAAGAATTAATAAATATAAATTGTTTCATGTAAATATTTTTTGGTTTTGATTCCATCACAAATAAAATCAAATACAGTAGCAGGATCTATTGGTTGTTGATTATTTGGATTCGATTTTTTTTGAACTTGATATTTTGTTGTTGTTGATGAATTGATTTCATTACATACAACAATAGTCCATGATATGAGATCTGAAGTTTCTTTCAGAAGTTTATTGATATTTTTATCAAATTCAGGTTGTTGTCCAATAAAAAAGAAAAAAAGATGAGGAGGTTGTCGTTTTAATCGTTTCACAGTTTCCAAAATATTATTAAGATTTGAATGTACTGATGTATTAAACATGAGAATAACATCAAATGGATCATTTTCATGTTTAGATAAACTTTGTATAACTTGATTTGCATTACTAATATCAACTTGTTTAATTAGTAAAAATTGTGGTGATGATGATGGAACAGTTAATGATACTTCATTAGATGCAACTAATGTTACATGACGAAAATCAGCTAATATTGTATGAACTAATTTTGATGATAAAAGTTCTTTATCAAAGATGAGAAAATTCATTTTCGTTTGTTGTTGTGTTTTTGTATGTGCAATTTTTTAAATGGTGCAATGTTTGCATTTGATGACAAAAACAGAATTCAATGGGATTACCTGGATAGAGAAAAAGAAAAGAAAAACGAGCACATATGTTCTGCCTGGTTTTCTTTTTTTTTTAAAAAAAAAAAAAGAACTGATGATTACCAAGATACATAGAATCAACCAATGTCAATGTTCCACCTAGTATTTTATTTGACTATTATATAATGTAATTTCTATCTTTTTTTTTTCTCACATATGGTTTCCATTTTATCAATGTGTTAATCGTGCTGTTAGTTTTTAACGAAATATTACATCCAATACTTGATAATTACGAGAAGAATAAAATGAGAAAGATTTTTAGTATATTGTTATTATTATTATTAGTTTATATATCATATTCATCAGCTGACCATTTAAATAAAATAAAACGAGTATTGAAATTAAATCTTTTGATTTTGCTTCATTCAATTTTACTTTTGTTTTAGAATTCAAGATTAAACAATGAACCATTTGTTCGAGGTAATTAAAATTCAATTTAGAAAAAGTTTTAATTGTTTTATTTTATTTTCTATTAAGCTGATGATCATAAGTATCCGGCAGATATAATTGAATCAGTTCATTCGGATGTTCCAGGTGATCCACAAATAAAAATACGTTTTGCAAATCAGGAAAAAGATGAAGATGAAGCAACAATTTCTATTGATACTGAAAGTGATAGTGAACAAGAAGAAGAAGAAGAAGAAGACAAAGATTTACCAATAAAAAAAAAGAAATTACCAAAAACAAAACTTGAAGATATTCATTCTTTTCTTTGATTGTTTATTTATATTATCTTGAATAAAAACTATGCAAATAACATCAATTATCTTTATTAAAAATATATGACAGATCAATCACAATAAGACTTCAAGGATTTTTTTGCATAATTTATATCCACTATAGTATGTAAAACGATGAATACACATGCAAACAGACATAGACGCATGCCGATGATAGATTAACATTATTTAATAGTTAGAAATTGTATATCTTCCAGTATTTTTTTTTACATACACATAAGTTACTGTTTAAGTCACGTAATGGCATAATATTCTCAGAGCATTCGTTGGATTTTATTGGAAGAAAAGCCAACGTATATGTTGAGATATATAGTGTAAGCCATAAATAGCCCTACGATAAAAGAATAAAATATCTCTGAGTTGGTTCAATCAAATGGCCCGATATTTTGAACAATAGTAAAAGTTTATTCAAACATGTTCTTTCGTACGGATAAAGTAAACAAATACTACTATCAGTAACAGAATCCATGGGAGAGAGAGAACTCAGCCTACTTTCCACTGGTAAGATTTTTGAAAGATATATTTTTTCTAATAAAAAAATGTATTAATTTTTATAATAAAATATTTTAAGATATTTTATTTTGTGAAACTAATATGTATTTTTTTTTCTACGAAAACACAAAGAAGTTGTACAAAATAAAATATGTGTTTAAACTTTTCATTAAAAAGACTAATTCATTTTTATATCAGAAAAATACGTCTTTCGAATGTTTCATTAGGGGGAAAGGCTGAGCCTCTCTAACCCAAAATTCTAGATCCATTGCTAACTACTATTAAGTATTATTGTTTGTATCATAAAAGCAATTCTAGCCGTTATTAAGTAAGAAAAATACATATGTACAGTGTTCCATAGATTATTTACAGTTCTAATCCAAGAAAATAAGAAGTCAAAAGGAGCTTTACGAATGATACTATATTGATGCACATAGTATTCAAAAATTTTAGATTTGATGAGCTTCGTAGTTATGTTGGATATCTGCTCGTGTGTAATTAGTATATGTATTTAACATATGTTGATTTTTAGTACAGCTTATACAGAAAGATTTAACTATGATGATTAAACGATTCTTATCATAATGATTGTTTTATTATTCAATGTGACAATAAAGAAAATCTCATAACGTTGAGTGTCTTTTGCATTGGCACAAACAAATTAGTTCATGCTCATTGTCTTCATCAAGTGCCTTTAAAATAAATTCAATGAATATTTTGACTAAATCATTATAATATGGTTCACAAATTTGCCCGAATCATATTTTGAATATATGTACCGAAATATATCGATCTATCTGAGGAAGGAAATATATAAAATCGATTAGTGATACATCAAAGATAAGTGAACCACTCCTTGCACCAGAAAACTTCCTGATGATAGAAGATTCTATCAGAGGAACGATGTGCCAGTAGTAATAGAAGATGCTCCTTAATTAGTTGATTTCTGAAAAATTTGAAACTTTTACTAGAATATTTACATCAAAATATGTCTGATTTTTAAGAATTTCGAGCTGAGAAACCTGAAAGGACTGCAGTTTACAGCATTTTCTGGGTTCCTGAAATCCTAAAAATGACGTGTTCAATCTACGAAATCGCTTTGTTTTTCTGAACAATATTTTTAATTATTAAACAGCAAGAAAGAAAATGACATCTAGAATAGTGCTACATCAAGAAAGAATCACTAACATTGTTTTTCTTTGGATAATTAGCATTATCCATTTGATTCTATTAATCATAAGAAATCATATACAAAAATATCCATCTATATATTTATTAACAAATCAGTCAATCTATCCATCTATCTGTGTATAAAAATCTCCACCTACAAGTTTTGACCTCATTCATTCAATTATTTCATTCAACAAAACAAGATTTCAAATTCAGATTGTTCATTCTTTTTTTCGTTATTTAGAACAATTAAAATAACATTCATTCATTGTAAAGGTTTAGCCAAACAAAACAACTTCAAGAACAACTAATTTGTGTCTTTCTATTAATCAATTTAATGATTGATTATACATAGTTCACATTGTTTGCAATATGAAAATAATAATCGTAATATTATTTATCGAACAATATTTAAATAATTAGCAAATTCATGATTGATTTTTGATTCTGAAATATTTGCAATTTTATATATTAATACAAATATCTGATTCAATCAATTGGCTTCTTGGAGCCAGAAATACAAATCATTTAAATAATTCTACTTATTTACTTTCATCATCATCATTAAATAATATAAAAAACTCATTGAGAAAAAAATCACAAACAATAGTCAATTACTTGATCCTTTTTTGTTTCCAAATTCATGAACTATTCAAATGTACCTATTACACTAGATTTCACCTCTCTGATTCGTCTTCCATTACGTCTACCATCATCTCGCCCATCCTTAATTGTTTCCAAAGCCGATCGCTGACTTAATATGTTCCCTTGAAACTTCCGCATATTCGTCTTCACTGTTGATTTGTCTCCCAATTAAATTAACGATTTGTTTTATATACATGCATTACTAATGTAGTAATATTGAGTTTGCAAGTCACTTTCAATCATAATATCAAAAAGTAAATATAATCATTTTTTCTTTTGCAAGCATAAAGAAGAACAAAAATGAATTATATAATAATAAGAAATAAATTTTAATGTCAAAAAACAAGTCATTATTTAATATACATAGTCTTAACAACCTGATCACATTCAATTGCTAAATCCATCTTACTAATTTGTTCATGAGAGGAATATTTAAGCAATTATTCAAGAAGCAAGTCGATTTCGTTATTTTGTTTTCTTCTCTTTCATCGTTGTCGACTATTAAATAAAGTGGAGACAAATTCTGAATTAATTAACCGCTAACTACTTTTGATTGGGGACGAATATGCCACCGACTTGAGAGATCCCAACAAGGAAATAACTACAACAGGAACGAATTGGGGCTACGTCCGTTATATTCATATATAAGCATGTGTATTAATGTTAAATAATGACGAACGAGCTTCGTTTATTTTATTTTAATAAAACAAGTAATGTTCATCGTCAAGCGATTCACTTAGCCCTAGACTGATACAATACATGTACGGATGTAATAACATAAAAAGCTACATTAAACAAGTAATACGCAAAATTGATAATATTACCAGTATATCTTAGGCGACCAGAAAACTTAATTTGGAGAGTTCTCACTCTAAGTAAAGATGATGCATTTACGAATTTAATTTTTTTTATCGTTTTTGTTTTTGTTTTGCTTTTATAAATATAAAAAAGCGCCCAATAAGATTAGAAAACAATACGATTTTTTTATAATTATATTGGCGCTATTTGTACGTACAAAAATATGAATTATATTATTCATAAAATTTGAGTTTTATTAATCAATATTTTATGCTTAAATTCGCGCATTATTTCTAAACTATTAATAAATTAGATATTCATTGATACAACATTGCACAATCAATCCTACAATAATGAATAATTTAAACGATTTCTTTAAATCCATACTGCTCATTTGGTCTGACTCTCACTAATTAAATGCTTTTGTAAGCCGTTTTACACCACTACCCGAATTATAGTTACTCCATTGACATTTTACCCATGATTATTATGGGTTCATTTACATCAGTCTTTAGATGGTCATTTGTACCATAGTTACCGGAATAGTTGTTTGTACCATGGTTGCTATATGGTCACCTGTGCCATAGTTACGTGGCCGTTTGTGCCATAGTTACACGCTCATTTGTACCATAGTTACCTAGTTAATTTTAGTAAAAAAATGGCCGTTTGTGCCAAAAAAATGGTCGTTTGTGCCAAAAAAAATGGCCATTTTGACCGCGTTACCGTCAGACAGACAGACAGACAGACACAGGTGAATTTCGGTTTCTAGACCCTAGCCTTTCAGTCTAGGAAATATCTACATGATGGTTTGACACACATATTAAACGCACACCTGTATAAACGTGTTGAAAATGAAAGAGAAAAGAAAGAAAAAACAAACAATAACAACAACAGAAAACTAAAAAGAACGAAGAAAAAAGAAGAGAGATTGGGTCGAAGTTTTTTTGATAATGATAATATGATCACTAACAATAATGTTTTTGTTTCACTCTATGTATTTTCATTAAAACTATAATAAAAGATAGATTAATCAACTATTAAATTGTGTAGGAAAAAAACTGCATCTATTATTATATTAAACAAGGACAAGGGTTAGTAGTATACTTGAAGATTTTCCACGATGCAACCGCTCATTCAATGAATCATGTCTTTCTTTCTTTTTATGCATTTTGCTTTGCACTTCTTTTGACTCGAATGAATCAAATAAATAAAACATGTGCGTACTGTGGTCTTCTCTTTCTCTTCTATCTATTTGCTGCATATACCTATCCAATACTGCATGGGAAAAAAAACCTTGCAATTTTTTTTTATACTTCTCCGTTTTTTCTCTTGTCCGATCATGATACATTCATGCATTTATTTTCATTCTTGTTTCTTCCTTGCTTGACACATAGATACTTCGTTGTTGCTTCGTCAGTACTCTGAAAACAAGTGAACTAAAAGAAATTCTTAAACTAAAACACAAAAAACATACACTCCTGTAACGACCGTCCAAAAGAAATTATCAACAAAAGTAAGAAACAACAATATATATATAGAAGGAAGAAATCGTGTTTATTACATTCATTTACTCATTCATCATGGATAAAACAAAGTCGACAACAACTACTGCTAGTGGCACATCGTCTAGGTTCACTACAAATAAACTCAAGAAATCATCGCCACCACCCACAACTACTGCTAATACTGTACATAGTACAGCAGCAGCAGCAATTACAACAAGCAGCAATACCGTGTTATCTCGACGTGTTCATCGAGTTCTACAAGATTTTCTCGTGATCTGGCTTGATTCAAACGTTGACAAATCCAAAAATGACTTTAAAAAATCAATACAACGTCTACGACATATTGTAGCATCCGTCATAACATTT